CCTCTCAGGCGACATTTTTCTAAACTAAATAGGTTTAAATTTGTTAACCTTTCTTCATAGCTGATATGTTCCATTCCTTTTATTCATTTTGGAGCCCACCTCTGCACTTTTTCTAGTGCCATAATATCCTTCTTTAGAACAGGTGCCCAAAATTGCACAGCATATTCAATATGTGGTCTTACCAGTGATTTATATGTTAAATCCCGAGAATGAATGCCCTTTTTCATGCATGACAATACCTTACTGGCCTTAGCCACTGCTGACTGACATTGCACATTGTTGCATAGTTTGTTGTCAAAGTATGTATATGACTGTGGGTCAGTGTAATTCTTTTTGAATATGTGTGTATGTATGACTGCATTTCTGTGTATGGAACGTTATGTAACTGTGTGTCAATGTACAGTATATACACTGATCATCCACAACATTAAAACCACCTGCCTAATATCGTGCAGGTCCGCCTCGTGTTGCCAAAACAGCTCTGATGTGTCGAGGTCTGGACTCCACAAGACCTCTGAATGTGTGCTGCAAGACAGTAACAGCAGCTCCTTTGAGTTAGGCAAGTTACCAGGTGGGGCCTCCATTTGTTGGATTTGTTATTCGAGCACATCCCACAGATGCTCAATCGGATTGAGATCTGGAAATTTTGGGATTTCAAATTTGTCCTCAAACCATTCCTAAACAATTTTTGTAATAAAGCAGGGTTCATTATCCTACTGCAAAAGGCCTATGTCATCAGGGAACACCATTGCCATGAAGGGGTGTGCTTGGCCTACAACCATCTCTAGGTAGATGGTACTTGTCAGAGTAACATCCACATACATGAAAGAACCCAAAGTTTCCAGCAATTTGAGTTTCAGTAGCTCTGTGTGATTGGACCAGACGGGATAACATTCACTCCCCACATGCATCAATGAGCCTTGGGAACCTATGGCCCTGACGCTAGTTATCCTTCTTTGCATTACTTTTGGCAGGTACTAACCACTGCATACCGGGAACACCCTGCAAGACTTTGTTGCTCTGACCCAGCAGTCTAGTCATCACTATTTGGCCCTTGTCAAAGTTACTCGGTTCTTTTCGCTTGCCCATTTTTTCTGCTTACACCACATGAAATTCAAATTGACTGCCTAACATGTCCAATCCCTTGACAGGTGCTATTGTAACAATATAGTCAATGTTATGCACTTCACCGATCAGTGATTTTGATATTTTGCCTGATTGGTGTATATGACTGGCTTTGGTCCTCTTTAATTTGTGCAGCCGCTCAGTGTCAGCTGGATGCAGATGCAAGATGATAATCTCTAAACAGACTCCTTCTGCTTTGCAAACAAAGGTAGACGTCATGGCAAATGGCTCTCAACAGTAGTGAAACTATTATAAGGCTTTATACTGGAATACAGCCCATATCATGCTCCTAACTCTTATTTTCTACAACTTTCTTCAGGGCCATATTTACGTTTCACCATATAAAAAAATTAAAAATCCACCATAGATTGAAGTCATTTTTACCAAACTTTGCAAAGGGCACGAGTCAATCAAAAAGGACATCTCCCCTATCCTCAGTGAAAAAAAAATAATGAAAATAAATACTATAGATAAGGAGCGTCTGACACCAAAATTAAAAAAATAGATTCAAATATGCAAAAAACAAAAACAAAAAAAAATACATTTGTAGTTTCAGAGAATTAGACAGGCATATTCCTACCATGCCTACTGACAAATTTAGCTGTGCCTCTCGAAATAGGTATAAGAGGTTCACAAGTACTGTTGGTAGGCAACAGGACAAAAAATATAAATAAAAAATACTGGCATCCAGAACCCAAGATTTGGAATGTCCTCTTCTAATGTCCTTTTTTTCAGTTAATTTTCTGGGTCCGTACAACCACCATCTGGTGAATCAATCCATAGCTAAATTAAGACATTTAAAGAACACCTACATTTTAGGGGTGTGGCTGGGGGCATGACTGTTCTGAGAAATGTTAGACAACTTACTAATAATTTTTGCAACCAAAATGTAGTTTAGAATAAGAACAATGCATCATATAAGTAAATAATGATTTCTAAAGACACAAATTGTAATTTAAAGACACATTGCTATGAATATTATTGCTATGGAGCTGTTGTACACATTCAGACACACCAACAATATGAAGCTTCTAAAAAAAAAAAAGAGTAGCATAAGGATAAAAAAGGACAGAGTTATTTGGGCACAAATCCGGAAAAGTCCCTCCTAATTAGGTATACTTGGGTGGTATGGATTACAATTGTAGTTCAATATTTTTTAAAGGGATCTTATTACATATATGATAATGTTGATAGAAGAATGTTTAGAAAATGTATTAGCATAGACTGTAAAATAAAGTTAATAGACAGAATCCGTTTGATACTCATATAAGATTTACCTCTTTTGGCAGGTTATTTAGGTATAATACAGGCTTCCACTGCACAGCCTATTTTGCAGTAAAGCCAGATGGTGATGAATGATAAGAAGGAAAGTTTGTTTTAAGACAACAGAACAAGTATATCGAGATATTACCCAGAATCCATTGCTGGAATGTCATCGTCATGTGATAAACTAACATAAGGGGGTAATACAGCACGCTAAGGGACCTTTATATAGGTACACAGAAAGCGTTCTGGCTTAGAAACAGCTGTAGCCAGCAGCAAATGGTATCTGCATTTTGGGGATAGCAATGAGGAGGCCTGCCTCCTAAGGGGTACATCTGCCTTTAAGGGACCTGTTCAAATGAAACTCTCTCTTAGCCCAAAATGCTGATCCCGGGAAAGGAGCAGCACATGACATCATTAATTACCCATTAAGAAATAAAAAAACGATTCCCATGATGTCAAATAATAGGCATTTTCAACAGCATACAGTGAGTCCCACAATTCTGACTGCCAGCTATTTTGTATTATCAACTATTCGATTATTCCACTCTTGTGGCTAGACATTCATATTATTCATTATAGCGCAATACAGTCATTGGGTTGCAAAGTATTTCTATGTTGTGTTAAGCCTTTTGGGCAGTAGAGAAGAGTTTCAAACAACTTGCCCTGCTCACCTCTGGCAATTAAAAGGTTAAACAAATAGGCAAATGCTTCCCCAATGCCATATGTTTTCACATACCATTAAAATGACTATAGGATAAGTCTTCCCACACTGTGAGAATTTAATAAATAACTGGCACATGAGTTCTAAGAGTTGAAGTGGCCTGGATGTGAATGGGTTAAACAGAAGGGGGCTGTGGGAACCAGTCTGTGTTTTTGGCTAATTTCCCAGCTGGGCTTAGAGCCGAGAGGTCACTAGAAGCAGGAAATGGGAATATAAGCAGGGAAGGCCGCAGGACTTTATATATAAATTTCTATAGATATACAGTTTACTCTGCACACATCTGCACAGTTCTCCAGACAGACACACAAACCCCTTTCTGTTTATTTGGAAGGCAGAGAGATTGGTGAAAATCTCAGTATTGGGGGCAGGGCAAGGACACACACGTTGCTGTGTTTAATAAGCCATAACACAGCGTTGGCCTTAATTATTAGTATTATATACTTTGCTAGTCCTTACCCTGGACATTGAATAAACAGAGAGAGATGGATTGAGAGGAGGTGAGGCTGAAAAAGGACAGAGAGGGATAAATATAGGTAGATGGCTGGAGAGACAAAAAAAGAAACTTAGCTATATAAATTAAGATATGCTGGTGGTAGACAAATTAATGGAAACGTCACATGAAAAAGGAATTTATCTTCAACAAAATCACAATCACAAATGTCTGCATTTAGTAATGACAACATATACCACCCTTGGACAAATATAGGTTTATTTACCATTGCATTCAAAGTGAATTTTAGACTCAAGGTAAATATAGCCGAACTGAAAGCATAGCTGACTATTTTGACCTTGGATTTGAAGTTCACTTTCAAATTTACTTAAAATTGATACTTTAGTAAATAACTCTGACAGGGTTGGCATACAGGTACAGTGATTGGAACTGGAATATCACCAACATGAGCAGACAAAAAATGTTAGTTCTGAAATGCCACAAACCTAGAGCGTAATGAGCCAAAATGAGCCTAAAATTGAACCAGCGCCTATTTGACCCCAGGAATATTCTCTAAAGTCCGAAGGCCTCTGCTCTGGATTTGTAAAATTATTAAGATCTGTCCAGAGGCATTCATAAATTCAGCAATCACAATAATTATCAATGTCTAGATTTTGCAAATCATTCTCCAAATGAGGGTTAATCTTGTCCGGTAGTTACTGAACGGCTGAAATGAGGATCCCATGGATTAAAATACAGGTCCTCATTGTTAAAATCCAGACCCATAGTTTAGAATGCCTAAACTATTTACGCTAGCAGCAAGGGGCAAATAGTTAAAAGACCCAAATAAGTGCGCTGTCAACTGTGTGATGGCTGACCAGTTCTTGCTAGCTCAGAAAGCAAAAGACATGCTTTCTGGGCTAGCAAGTCGTTTCATAAAATCCTCCATTATGTCCCCACCACGACATGCTGCAGGTGGGGGTATAAATCCTAAGCAGTGAGCAGCAATCGACAGGTTCTCCCATATCCTCTTAACTGCCCAGTAGTGAGGTTGTTAATAAAATTAGTGACGTGGAAGCTATTGCTGCCTAAAGTATAGGCCGCATCCCATTGGGACACTCATTAGTTTGTGATTATACATTACCAGGAAGTCTTGGGAGAGATGAGACTTGTCTGGCAGAATGTTGGAAGCCTACCAATCCAAGTGCTCTGATTGATATTTTAAAGGCCTTTATAATGACATATCACACCTTGAATTGTCACCCCTCCATGGGCTCCCAAGGATTATTTCTTTGCGGTGCATTTTTAAATTTTTTTTTTAATTCTTTATTTTTATTGCGCAAAGATTAACATACAGATTTGAAATGCCATGACAGCAGCAATAATCATTCCTTGAACATACATCGAGATGTTGTGTCATAACATTGAGGATTGTGCACATTTTTAAAAGTTTATAAAGCAAGCTAAACTGCGGATCTGAATAGAAGATCTGACTAAGATACATATTTTAACATGCTGGGGTTACACACTGCATATATTTGCCACTGGCCCCTGTCACCCCTCCTACAGCCTTGGCTAACTGTGATGATGGGAGAACGCGATTCCCTATGGTTAGCAAAATAAGTAAGTTAAAACAATATGGAACATTGGAGCATAATAACGGTACAGGGTGCCTGTTCAGCCAGAGGTGTTAAGTATCAAGCTATGGTGAAGCCATTTTAAGCTAGTCAGGGTAAGTACTGCTGTGTGTGTCCTGATGTGGTGGGAGGCCTGTGGCAGGATATAGCCCTACGTTTACAACTACCCGATGCCCCTCAGTGGGTATCTACAGTCCCAACCAGTGGAGTGTCCAGTAAGGCAGGGTAGGTACAGGACCTTGTCCGTCCCTGGTGAACTCAGGTAAGTGCAGGCTTGGGGGCAGGCTTGGGGAATCATCACCTGGGACAGCAACCCTCTTCCTTGGTGCCTCTCTTTGTGATGGGCGTGATCTCTCAAAGGGTGCGAGGTGTGCCGATGGCGGTAGGGCTCAGCCATAGCGAGTTGGTGGCATCCAGCCAGCTTCCTCACTTTCTGCGTTGCGGCGGTGGTTTGTAGCTTGATGAGGCATTGCCGGTGAGTTGGCTTTGCTGGAACTGCACTCCTCCTACGGACTGTCCTCCTCTTCTTAGTGCGAGCGAGTGCATGTGTAGCTACGGAGGAGCGGCAGACCCACGCGGCGTGTGGTCATTGAGTGGAGGCTTCCTGTCTGTGAGCCTCCGGTGCTTTAGATGAGGGCTGGTTTTGGCTCTTCATGTCAGCAGCCGGAGGTGAGTGGTCTAGCTTGCTGGCACTCTGTTGCCTCTCTTCGAGCTTCGCCAAAATTCTGTGAGCAGTGCATCCAGCTTAGCGAGAGTCGTTTCCCTCGGGCCTTGTGGCAAGTTGTGGGGTCTTGCGCCCGCCATCTTGGTTTCCGCCGATTCTTCCAGCAGGGACATGTGCTGTGTCGCAGGGCCACCGGGTAGTCGTGATTGCGGTGTGAGTGCTGGTGCCGGGATAACCCCCACCGGCAAGGGGGGGGAACGGGAGCCCCTGTCGCGTCCACCTTTAGCAGTCGGATAGCCAGCAGGAAGATCGGCCGCTTCTTCCACGCCAGCACCCCCATGTAGGCCGCAGTTGTGTGCCGAGAACAGGCTGCTCATTTTGTGTCCAGGAGTCTTTCAGGTGTTGCAGAAGTAAAGTCTGCTTTTACCTGCTTTCAGGTAGTCGAGTTTGCTAATGTAAAGATTCTGAATTAGGGCTCTGCTGGAGTGTTTTACACAGAGCACACTCTGCATGCGGCCATCTCGGTTGGCAGCCAGGCCCCGCCCCCCGCATTTTTTCATTTTTACATCAAATCTTTGTTTATGCTTTGGGTTTTATGTTTTTAATTAACATTCATATTAGACATGTGCAATTTATTTCGGTCCGAATTTAAATTCGCCCGAGTTTCGGCTCCCGAATGTCTGAATTGCCGAAGTGCCGAATTTCCGAACCGAATTGCTGAAGTGCAAACATCGGATGTCTCATTTAGGAGGATCCGGATATGGCAAGGGTGTCCCAGGGAACAAGTTGGGCAATCCATTATTATGTAGATTGACAACTTACCTTGGAATGGTGCCAGGCCACTCCTGGTACCAAAAGCACTACAGCAGACTGTAGTGGTTATGGTGCTTGGAGTGTAAAATGTGAGTAATACATTATATCTGGGAAAAGACAAAGGTTAGAATCATCCTTTAACCTACCACATGAAGGTCCACACAAACCGCCACTTCCTAAAGTAGACAATGATACCATGTCAGCAGGAAGCTGACTAATGTGCATGGAAAATGGTGGCCTGTAGCCCGGTAGGGCCATGCATCATGGCAATTCCTCTGTGATTTCTCACTTTTCCTGTACTGCCCAACAGTAACCATAATATGTATACAGGGAAATATGGTGATGTGACAAGCCTGAGCATGACGCATTGAGGCTTGCATTCCTGGGAGGATGACTCTTCCAGAAGTTGACCAAATTATGAAATTTCATATGTAAGATAAAAAACTAAAACTTTAAACATATTTTAAATATTCCCTTTAAAACTACAGATAAATGACACGTAAATTATAAATAGTACGTGTTTAATATTACATGTATAACAAAAATAATAGACATGAGCAGAGGAAATGACTAGTAGCAAGATGTATGTGGCTTTTAGCAATCTCTCACTCTAGCCACATAATAATGTATTGGCACATTTATACGAATTAACCCTCATGTGTCAGTCTTCCTAGATTAATCAACCCCCCTCATTCGCCAGCCTACATATGCTAATTAACACCTCATTTCCTAGTCAGCATAAGCAAATTAACACCTCCTGTGCTAGCCAGGATGTGCTATACAACCTTTAATTTACCAGACTATATTGGCTAATTAACCCTTTTGCGTGTCAGCCTAGCAACACTAATTAACATCTTGCATGCTGGCCTGTGTACGTAATTAACGGCTCTTGTGCTTTTCAGTAAATGCCAATTATTTCGAATTTTCTAGAGCGAATTTACTGATTAACCATTCATGTGCCAATCTACTTAGAATACCGTAAATACCATAAAGTACTGGACAAAAAATAATATTTTATGTTGATGGGGGTTCATGAATAGTGCTGCCCTACAGTATGTACAACTATACTGCGTATGAGTGAAATCCAGTAATTAATCAAAGACGTGTTTGATTGCCTTTCAGCCCCCTACCAATGCTACATCAGTGCATTCACTGCCCTAGCCTAGGGTTGCAATACACACACTATGGTTTTTCGGGACACACAACATTTCTTCATGTTGATGTGCAGCATGTGAAAAATGTTGTGCTGTATGTAGTATTCAAACGCTGGAGGATTCCTGATGGATTAATCACTTTTAGAGCATTTTTCTTGGGCTATCAAATCAATCAATCAATATATGATAGAATACATGCCTCCACACAGCTGAGGCGAGATACGCTGAGATACTTGGGAGGAGGGACAAACATCTCGAAATGTGGACACCATGGTACCTATACACGTCACAAACAAGGACAGGGGATGGGACACCACGGGGATCCTAGCCAGCTGGACCAACACGCGCATCTTAACACAACTTCTCTCTCACCCGGACCTGCCCTGACCGGCTAACTCGGGAAACAGGATAGACCCATGCCACAACATAGCTATGCCCCATACCTCCCAGCCCTCCCCCCCTCACACACTCCCACCCATCCCTATCTCTCCCCCCCACCTCCTTTTTCTTTCCCCGGGCGAGGTCGGGGATCGCCTGGCGCAACATGGCCACAAAATATTTGAGCCCGAGAAGGCACCATGATTTCCCCATGGGATGTGGGACCCGCGAGACATCACTCGATAGACTCGAGGGGTTCCCATGACATGGGAAACTCCTACAATAAACAGCAAACATAAGTCAACACCAGATGACTGACACAACCGAACATTGAGACATCACATCACCCCCACCCAAGGGGGGAAAACACCCCAGATACACCACAGATACCATACGTGGACAGTGACTGGAGAATGACAACAATTACCGCCCACAAGGAAGCAAAACGACAGAGGCAACTAAACACACCACTGGGCGCTCCCCCCCTCCCGTCGTGATGGCATCGCCTCGCGACGGGGGAGGGGACGCAGACTCAGAACGAGAGGGTAGATGACCCAGGAGAGAACCCACAACATACCTAGGCACCGCTGAAGCTAGGGAAAAGGCAGACAGGAAAGGGAGTCCCAGACCTGGTGCAAGACTATAGATCCTGATCCCGAAAAACAAACCCCTCTCTCACTCCCCACGTTAGAGGACGTGACCTGGGACCTACCGCACTACTTACCATTTGATTGGGGATCAACTATAGAATCCGTTTGCCCTTACTGTTGTGGGCCAGCAGCCCTCCACTTACAATAATGCTATATAAAGACCCACCTAAAACTGGTGGTACTCATGTCAGACGCAATTGGAGACCTGCGAGTCTCACTGACAATATAAGCACTGCTCTCTGTTATTATCTGAACTGCTAATAAAAACTTTATTTACAAAAAAAAAAGAATACATGCCGTGTCCCAGAAAACCTGGTAGAACTGGCAACCATGTGCAAAAGACTGTGACTGTACACTGTACACAATTAATGAAAAATACAAAATGTGACATCAGGGGTTATTTACTAACCTGTAAATTGGGTAAAACTGAAAACTGAATGTAAAAAACTTACGCCAAATATTTTTTGACAATTTTTGGTGTAATGAATAACTCCTTAAGTGATTTGGTATTAGAATCATATGAATAATAATCTGCAACACTTTTCTGCTTTGATATGTCTAAAATAACAATAAGGATCCTTAATATTATTCAAAATATAAATTGAGCTATAAAAAGTGTAATTTAATAGAATTTAAGAATAGATTGCGTACCATTATATTCCTTTCCCCATTGGTGTTTGTTCAGGGGGGCTGAGGGGTGGGGCAGGGCATGAATATATGTGTTTAACGATTTGTGATTCCTTAGCTAAACTATGAATTTTAGTGAATTTAAAATGGAATTTCAAAGTTTAGGTAAAAAGTGCTGATTTGGTTTTATTCTATGTGGCTCTCTAGGGATAATATTTTGTAACTGAAATTCAGTGTTTAGTGGATAAAACCCTTTATTTATTTTTTTCTAATATTTGCCCCCTTTTAGAACTTTTCTTAAAATTTGGTTAAAACATTGTAATGTCAGGCCTGAATCCTGTAATCTGATACTTCTATAAACAGAAGCAGGGGGTTGTTATAGTAAATAATGCAACTCTGGTAATACTCGGACACATTGTATAATATAGCATTCAAACTAATCGTCTCTTTCCTGTTTCATTTCCAGTTCCTGAGTTTATCAACATGTTTAAGAATAGCCAAATACATCCCAGATGCCACGATTCAGCAACATATATGCTACCAAGGAGAGAACAGGGATCTGTGGGAAATATGCAATCTTAAGCTACTTCTAATACAACCTTCACTGTTGAGGCTAGTAAGCAAAAAAATTAAAAATAAATAAAAGAATTGCAGAGAATTCCAAATGGGTCTGATTATTATTATTATTGCCGTTTATATAGCACCAACAGATTCTGTAGCGCTTTACAATATTACGAGAGGGGGGGATGTAACTATAAATAGGACAATTACAAGAAAACTGTAACTCAAACGAGCTTACAGTCTATAGCTGAACATGAAATACCATATTGCAACTGCTATTGTCTCTACTTACATTTTCTGTCTTATCAGTGCCTCAATAACAATTGATTGGAAAAACAAAAGCAAGAATTGGTAAAATAATTGCAAATTTTAGGCCAAAACATTCAAATTGGAAAA